GTAGCATCTCATGCTGGTCCAGCAGATTCCAGAACAGTTTCTTCCCCTCTGCCATTGAACTGCTGAATGTTATGTAAAATGGGTTATTAAAAAACGTAGCATTAGATGAATCCTTAAATGCTCTCTTAGATAAAAAATGTGCAGAGACCTACACATTCATCCCTTTATACTTTGAACCTTAGGTTGACATATGGCATTTAGTGTGAAAAAAAATAAGAGCATCTTTTCATAACCCTGACCAGGCCGTTTTTAAACAACCTTTGAATTGAACTTAACTGGGTTCTTCTTCCCCAAAAAAGGTTTAATTTTAGCTGTTCATCATAAGACGATGCTGGAACATATATAAAAATGTATGTCCCTGAATTCATTTCTTAAGTGTGGCAGAAAAACCCTGCTGACGACTACAATTTATTCATTTTCTTTTTAAATTGATGCTATTGTTGAAAGTGTTACATCATCATCGTTTATTGTATCAGACCATGTAGTTCTCCTTAAAAAGAGGTATGATTATTTATAGAAAGCTGACTCCCGGATTTAAATCAGAGCCGTATACCACGCTAGCAATTTGAAGAGAAGTGGCAATCTGCACATCTAGAGAAATCCTACTTAATCGTAAAAATTGTTTATTATTTTATTATAAAGACCATTCACAAAGCTTGAGGTATTTTTTAATAATTAAAAGAGGAGCAGAGCAAAAATCCAGTTTCTTCTACTTAATTTATAAACAGTCATTGGGCTGTTTAGCATCCATCCTCCAGCCATAGGCGGATCTATTGGGGTGGCATAGGGTGGCAAATTCCACCCTAAAAGACAGCCTTGCCACCCCTGCTGCCACCCCAGTTGGTGGTAGGGGTGGCGAGGCTTATAAATTACCGACCGCTAATTTCCAATGTCGTACTGCAGTGAATGCAGCACGAGATGACGCGAGAGCGACTGAGACTGATTAGTTTTGAAAACCGAATGGGGCAAAGTGAGGGAGCCAGGGGTCATGGGGAGAGGAGACACGGGATGAAACAGCTAAAAACTATCCAGAAATGACCCGTATGAACCTACTCACAAAATGTTTTGTACTTTTTCAGACTGGAAGCAAAATGTATTTTTAAGTTGCTTCTTTTCAGATTTGTGGAGATTTTGATGTAACATACAGTACCTGCCTTTTTGTTGATTTGTTGATACAGCAGCTCTATCTACAGCATATTGACATGCATGAAATGTCCCTTTCATGTTGCCTTAACTGCTGTATGTCAAGTTACTGAGGAACAAATGTGGTAAATGTGTGTTCAGAGTAAACAATACATGGATGTCTGGGACCGTCCAGTTAATGGCGGTAATGCACACAGGATGCAAACTGCCAGAAAACTCAATAGAAGAAGAAGAAGATGTTTTGCAGAGGAAAACAGAGACATAACGTTACCTGAACGCACGTGTAAGGTATGAATGATGCGTTTTTCCTCTGTGCTTGAGTTAGCCTCTCCTGGCGTCTCAAAGTGTTGCGGGCCTGGGCACGGGTAGATGGATACCATCAAATATATGGCGATAATGAGTCCAGTTGTTTGAAATATTTTGGTTGGTGTTCTTGATTTAGTCTTCTTGGTAAACTTCAGGGGAGGATCTAGGATTCTAGGAGATCAGGGGCTTAGCCCTGAGGGTGAAGATGAGAGTGCAGACTTTCTGGTAAATCCCGTTCTAATGTAAAATATGACAGATTACAGGATTAAAGAAATATTTTTGTATACTACATGCTATCACACATATTTTTTTACATAATTTGGAAACAGTTGCTCTTTATTTCTCAAAGATATGTGAGGAGGAGAGGAGAGAATGGATATTACAGCTGCCTGAAATAATCCGTTCTCCTCCATAACATGGGATTGAATTAATTTAACTGCAAGTTTTTAGCTGTGTTTATTCCTCTCTTCATCAACAACAAACTCTGTGGATTTGGTGACATTTGATCATTATTTGCCAAAGTTATCAGAGGGAAATCAAATATTTTAGCCACCTGATATAATCTATATTATATATATCCCATAACATGGGAAAAAAATAAACAAATCCTGTGAATTTTTAAACTATTATATTTCATATTTTATGTTTGAAACATTTATTTTATATTTTAAAATCCAAAATAGTAAAAAAAAAATATGACTGTTGGTTTGATGATCTTTATGAAATGTATTTTAATTCTTAATTCATAATGTCTGCAGTAGCATTGCTTCAGGTTTTTTGAATGGAGAAATCTTTCTGGATGGAAAGCGAAACATCTTTAAATTTGGAAAACACAGTTCAGTGGTTTTGTTTTTAACTTTTATTTTGAATATGTGTTAATTGTTAGATTAACATTTAAACAGAAAATATATTCCATAAAGACAATAAAAGGGGGACAGATTATTTCAGTCAGCTAAAATATATTGTTCCCGTCCTTTAATTTTGGCAAATAACGATCTCATGTGATCAAATCCACAGGGTTGTTGATGAAGAGAGGAATAAACACAGTTAAAGACTTGCAGGTGAATGAATTTTCTCCCATGTTACTGTATGGAGGAGAACAGATTATTTCAGAGCTGAAATATCCATTCTCTCCTCGCCTCCTCCTGTATCTTTGGGAAATACAGAGCAACTGTTTTTAAATTCTTAAAAATTGTTGAGTGATAGCATGTAGTACACTAGAAATGTCCTTAATCCAGTAATCTGTCATATTTTACATTAGAAAGGGATTTACCAGAAGGTCTACAATCTCATCTTTGCATAAAGTTTTAATTGTTGTGTCCTGCTATCAATCCTTTTCCATCTTATATCACTAATGAACAATGATAAATACAAACTACGAGTTGGAAAACTGAGGTTGGTAAATGACTTTTATTTCTCTCAGGCTGAAGTGACAGAAGTTGGAGAAAACTCAACACAAAACAGCTTGAAAGGACCTCGTCTATTTTCTTATTTAACGATTTTGTAAACAACGGCTGCTGATTAAACTGGATGTCACAACATTGACATCATTATAGGAGTTGTTTTAGCGAGAAATCAATCAGCAGCGCAGTAAAAATGGTCCCATCCTCAATGTCCGCCTCTCTGGCTTCAATGCGCCACCCGACACAAGGGGAACAGAATTTCATACAACACCGGGACAAAGAACGTCTGGAAGTCAGTCAGAGCTTCACATGCTGGGACATCAGTCTGTTTAGCAACAGTTAGTGGTGACAACTTCTTCTTCTGTGTGGGAATGCTACAGGCTTCTTTCCTGCACATGCTGCCACCATCTGGTGAATTCCACTACTGCACATTTTACTCAGCTCAGCTCAGAAGATCTGGGGCTCTGGGGGAAACATCCGGGGCTGTAGCCCACGTAGCCGCCCCCTAGATCCCCCACTTATAAACTTATTATACAGTGGTGGGTAGACCAACATCACAGCCAGTGTGTACGTTCCATAGCCGGACTTGTCTTGGCTAAAACACTGTTTTTTTGTTTGTAACCCAAGTTTTCGTTTTCTGACGGGTTTACATAAATTTTTGGAAAGGTGTTACAAAGCGTCCGAAATGGATCAACATGAATCGGCTTTGAAATCTTTGTAAGCAAAATAGGGCTGCAACAACGAATCGATAAAATCGATAAAAATCGACTTTTAAAAGCGTTGGCAATGAATTTCATCATCGATTAGTTGTGTTGCGCGATTAATGCGTCATCCGCCGCCGCCGTCATCACTGCCACTTGACTGAAACGGGGGAAGAAAAAAAAATACGGCAGAGCGAGTCAGCGCCGCAGGTGCAGTGTTGCCAACTGAGCGACTTTTCAGACCCCTCCAGCGACTATTTTTCAAAAAAGCGACTAGCGACAAATCTGCCGACTTTTTACGGTGTCACTGGCGGCTTTTGGAGACTTACCGTATTTTCACGACTATAAGGCGCACATAAACGTCTTTTTTTCCCCTCAAAATGTGCGGTGCGCCCTTTGGTGCGGTGCGCCCTATGTGTGTTGCAACTGCGACTTTTGAGACCACCTCATTGAGGAGATGATGAAAGAGTGGCTGAATGTAAGGAGACCAGGTGGGTTTTTTTCCACTCATCACCACACCATCGCTGTTAATATGTGACTCCATGCGTGCCCATCTCACAGCTGATGTGAAAAACATGGGGAAACAAATTAATGCTGTGCTCGCTGTGAACCGGACGCAGCAGGTGCAGCAGAAGCAGCGAGTTTACATGCAAAGTCAACGGTTGACGCGCGTATAGGTGCAGCAAAAGGTCCCGCAGCGCGTTTTGAGCAGCAGGCGCAGCGCGTCGGGAGCGCGCCGCCAACGCGCTACTGCTGCTCGAGATGGAAAAATTGAAGTTTTGCTGCTGGAAGCGCCGCATCAACCAATCAGAGAAGCTGATCTGGGAGCTGGCTGTGAGACCACACATCGCTCTGATGACATATGATTTTAAAGCAAATGAAAGGGCTGGATGGATGAGGAGATGATGAAAGCGTGGCTGAGGCAGGTGTATGTGAGGAGACCAGGTGGTTTTTTCCACGCATCACCATCGCTTTTAATATGTGACTCCATGCGTGCCCATCTCACAGCTGATGTGAAAAACATGGTGAAAAAAAATAAACGCTGTGCTCGCCGTTATCCTGGGGGTCTGACAAAGGAACCCTCACCGCTCGACATCGGTGTGAACCGGCCGTTCAAAGTAAGGCTGCGAGCGGCGTGGGAGCGATGGATGACCGACTGAGACCACAGTTTCACGATAAGTGGAAGGCAGCGCCGGCACTGCCTTCCACTTATTCTGTTAGATAGCCATGCGTTGTCAGATCGTCTTACGCGTATGACAAACTGATGGCTATATCTGTCAGATCAGCATACGTTGTCAGATAGTCATACGCTTAGCTCAGACATGTATACGTTGTCATTACCATATGATTTTATTTAATCAGCAACATAGAATCATGACGTAGATCATCATAAAACGGTGTTAGATCGTCATAAAGCTGCTAATGTAATAACACTTTATTAGCCACTGTATGACTTCCTGATGCATCCCTTAACCTGTCTGATTGCCATACACTTTGTTATTAGCCACTGTATGACTTCCTGATTAATACCAATGACATCAGTTGTATGATGTACTATATTTAATGTAGAACATTTTACTTCTGTATTTTTAATAATCCACACTGTCACTGGTGGGGTAAAACTGTTTAATTTAAGTTACACTTTTTACATTTGAACATGTCACCCATGTCTGTGGCACATTCTTTGTGTGTCCACCTTGAGCAGCAGTCACACTGTATCTGTGAAGTGGACAGAAAAAGAAAACAGTTATGAGTAAGCAAGTGTAATGTGTTTGAAGCGTTAAGTTGTACAGTTTAGTTGTTTACCATGTCAATGATGTTCTCTGAAGCATTACAGTGAAGCATATTGCATTCCACACAGTACTCTTCCACCTTGTCTGGGAACAAATAAAGGCATTTAGAGTGTACTTTACCAAAAATAGTCAAGTACTACCTCTTTATATTCTGTTGACAAGCCATCATGTTATACTAGTACATAACAGAAAATACTGCAATTTAGTATGTCATATATCTTTGGATTTTTTTAATGCTTTGGACTGTTCCGGTATAGCCTAAGGGAAAATTTGTTCCGTTTGGAATGAAAAATTTGTTGATATGCTCCTAAGCCATCTTGTGTTTTTGATTGTTAGAATATTAACAAAACAGATCAACAGGTTTCACACAGACTTCCACAGTTCCCAGAACAGTGGAACTGGTTCTTAATACCCAACATTAATAAAATTTCATGTGTTCTGACCAAAAAATTCTTAGAATCATAGCTGTCCAAAGCTATAAATCTCTGAACATTCAGCCAGCAAACTGGAAAACAAGACTTCTTTGTAATTGTTCTTTCACCTCGATGTTGATACAGTGTGGTAGCGATGTGCAGTCTGGCTTGGGATATGTCTTTGGGTCCTGTTTGCACTGCCTGCAGCCCTCCCATTTGAACATATGTTTCTGCAAACTGAAAAAATTATGCATTTTAATGTAATAATTCCATGGATTTCAAAACATTCCATCTGTTCTTTGTACCTTCAAAACCAAGATGATAATCACATGTTTGTGAGTTGTTTAGTTAAACATGGAACGATTTTTATCGAGTGAAACGTTTTTTTTTACTGTGGCAGCATTTCTGTGAACAAGCTGACTGTTTTTGCCTGCGCAATGCTATTTTTTTTTATGTGCTCCTTTTGTCATGGGCAGGTGGCTTGATGTCGGCTGGATGTTTTTATTTGCTGCTGAACAGTTTTGTTTCACTCTTTTCAGGTATGTTATTTCTTTTTTATTTCTTTTTTTTATTATTGACTTAACTTTCTTGGTCTGTTCTGGAGTTTTGTTATATATATATATATATATATATATATATATATATATATATATATATATATATATATATATATATATATATATATATATATATATATATATATATATATATTTATTTTTGTTTTCAAAATGAACACATTTTTATCCATGTTAGATATTTATCGTGGAGGTTTGTTCGTGATGTGTTTTGTAATTTTTTTTTTATCTCTTTGGTCCTCATTTAAAATATTTAATGAGGTTATTTCTAATAATATCTGATGTTAAATATGTAATGAGCCTGACAATGTTCGTTACTGCAATGGAGGAAGGTGGCTTGATGTCGGCTGGATGTTTTTATTTGCTGCTGAACAGTTTTGTTTCACTCTTTTCAGAATAAACATACCATTTATTGGCTGACTTGGAGTGGTTGAACGAGAGAATATTACACAACGCAGAGGCCGGTTACATTGGTGCCGTGACCCGGATTCATCTTGGATCAACAACAGCTTGGTCACCGATGGGCTGCTGATCGTTACAAGAGGTTCTGTTAAAGTAGCTGTTTTCGAAGCTACGCTGTTACACAGTTGAAAGGACTTAAAAAAGAAAAAAAAAAGGGGTTTTCATTTTTTTTTCTCCCACGTACTGTGTAATTCAACTAAGTTTGATTGAACTTAAGAACTTGTTTTTGTTATAATATAGGGTTAAGTTTTCTTTTTATTTAAAATGGCTTATAAGTTTGGAGAAGGAGACGTTCCTACAACAAGTGAAAATACTCTAGGCCTAGGCAGAGGAAGGTTTTTGAGGGAGCTTTGTGATACCCCTGCTAGAAATGAAAACGGTGTTGGTTCACCAGCCTTCAGCTCTACTCGGTTACCTAGTCATCCAACCACTTCGCCTAAAATCACTGATCAGCCATCAGCAATACCAAACCTAAGTGATCCAGCTTTAAACCATCTCATCACACACATAGCACAGCAAGTTGGACAGGTTATATCTACTCAGTTAAAGGAAGACAGTAAGGCCAATGAGGATAGAGATGCACAAGCTCAGAGTTCAGGTGCAGATCAGACTTTCAACAGCCTTACTCATAACCTGGCAGGCATAAGATTAGTTATGCAAGCTGATGTAAGAGAACCCCCCAGTTTTCGGGGAGATGCATCAGATAAGCTATCAGTGTATGAGTGGGAGGAACTTATGGACACATACCTGAGAAAGAGAGGTGTACCACATGAAGAACAGCATCAGGAGATCCTATATAAGTTAACGGGAAAAGCTAGGGACATTGTGAAGGTTACACTCCGTAGCAATCCAGCCCTAAAGGCTCAGGACAACCCAAAAGTCATCATTGACATACTAAAGCAACATTTTGGTGAAACGACAAGTTCAAGTATGCCCCTTGCAGACTTTTATGGCACTGTCCCTCAGATAGGAGAAAACCCTGTTGAGTACTGGCTCCGCCTCAACAAGGCAATTGATGCAGCTGAGGAGGCTCTGAGCAGACAAGGGCGACATATTGATGACCCTAGCCGAGAGGTAACGATGATGTTTGTCAAGTATTGTCCAGATCCCTCTCTTGCTGCAGTCTTACGATTTAAAGCACCTGACAAGTGGACAGCTAAAGAAATACAGGAACATGTCGATCGCTATCAGATCGAGATGAAAGCAAAACCAAATCGTCCCAGCTTGGTTAAGGGTATGTCATCACATGTTCAAGCTCCTGAGGAGCTAATTTCATTCAGTTCTCCAGGTTCTTCTCTTGCTCAGGTTGAGGGGAACGACAACCTCAGTCCTCATTTAGATGACAACTGTATAAGGACTCTTATTAGTCTGCTTGACCGTACCCTTGTTCAGAATAACCAGACTGTGCTCAGAAAACCCTCTCATGGTCAGTTGCAGAGAAAGTTCTGTAAGGTTTGCCAGTCCACAGAACACTCAACTTTGGCTCATTGCAGACAAGACCGCTTGTGCTTATCCTGTTTCAAACCTGGTCACATCAAGAGGGACTGCCCAAACAAGGATGTCAGACAAAATACTGAGACCCCATGTCCTCTTGGAGGGCAACAGCATTTAAACTGAAGAACCCGCATTTGGGGAGGGGACGTGTGGGTAGTGATTCACAAACCCTCAATGGTGAGAGCGAACTCGTACAGTGTTATTTCAATGCATGTGAAGCAGTATCAGTTGATGCTAAGGTGATTATGCAAAATACACAAACGGTAGAACCTTATGATGAGTTGTTCTATGCACCTGTTACTGTGAACTCAAAGTTTCAGATGCGGGGGATGATAGACTCAGGTTCTATGGCATGTACCTTCAGTGAAGAAGCAGAGGAAAGAATGCTTAGAGAGAATGTTTTGTCAGAAGCTAAAACCTTGACGCAAGAAGTGGTGTTAGTCGGGTGTGGTGGGAAAATAACTAAACCTAAATGTATCTATGAAGTTGAGTTTAAAATATATGGACAGAACTGCTTCGTTCCAGTACTTGTGGTGCCAGGTCAGAGAGATGATTTAATAATAGGCACAAATGTGATCAAGTTCCTCATGCATCAGTTAAAAGATAGTGATGATTATTGGCGTCTTATTTCCAGGGACAGTTCGACAGCATCTCCTGAATGTGAACAGTTCTTGGACCTGATGGCTAGTACATCACGTTGGAGAGGGGAAGAACAGCCAGAAAAAATCGGCACTGTCACACTGCGACAATCTGTCACACTTGCAGCACAGAGGGAGCATCTTGTTTGGGGAAAACTACCCAGTAACTCTCCTATGTCCCCTGGAAGCACAGTTGTTGTTGAGCCTACTACGTCAAAGTCCATGCCACGGAATGTTATGGTTGGTCGTGTTATAACACCATTATGGGGTGACAGATGGGTTCCTATGAAGGTCACAAACCTGTCTGACAAGCCGATCACTCTCAGGAAAAACTGTAAACTCGCTGATGTGTCACCTTGTATGGCTGTAGAAGATTTTGAGATTCTGCAGGGTTCCACACAGATTGAAAAGTCCATCTCAGAAAAATATGTGATGCCTGATAGCCTTTCAGAACTTGAACAAAGATTACAAAAAGTTGGTCTGGCAGATGTTGACATAAGAAATTGTACCACAGATAACGCTGGGAAAGAGAGACTAGTCAGTTTACTTGAGCGCTACAACGATGTTTTTTCCAAAGATTCGTTAGACTGTGGTGAAGCTAAGGGTTTCGTCCATCGCATTCGGCTCACGGATGATCGCCCATTTCGCTTGCCCTATCGGAGAGTTCCCCCTGCTCATTACCAAAAGTTACGGCAGGTGCTGACAGATATGGAGGAAAAAGGGATAATTCGAAAGTCTGTCAGTGAGTATGCTTCACCATTGGTGATGGTTTGGAAAAAGGATGGAAACCTCAGGATCTGCACTGACTTCCGGTGGTTGAATGCCAGAACCCTCAAGGATGCTCATCCTCTTCCTCACCAGTCTGATTGCCTTGCTGCTGTGGGAGGGAATATCTATTTTAGCACAATGGATCTTACATCCGGTTTTTACAATATCCCTATGGCCGAAGAGGACAAAAAGTATACAGCGTTTACCACACCACTGGGCTTGCATGAGTACAACCGGATGCCACAGGGGCTCTGCAATAGTCCAGCTTCCTTCATGCGAATGATGTTAAGCATATTTGGTGACTTGAACTTCAGCAGTTTGTTATGCTACTTAGATGACCTGCTTGTTTTTGCACCGAGTGAGGAGGAGGCTTTGCAGAGATTGGAGGTTGTCTTTCAGCGGCTGCGAGAGCATAACTTGAAGTTGAGTCCCAAAAAGTGTCATCTCATGCGAGCTTCTGTGAAGTTTCTGGGTCATGTGATTGATGGAAATGGTGTAGCTGTGGATCCTTCAAAAGTTGAGGTGATATCCAAAATGTCAACGTCCGATTTGATGGAGGACGATGGATGTACACCTTCTGTTCGACGGATTAAATCTTTTCTGGGGATGGTATTCTATTACCAACACTTCCTCCCCAATTGCTCTTCTTTGGCTAAACCACTCTTTTCTCTTACTGCTGGACAGAAAAGAAGAGGAAAGGCAAGAGCAAGTGCAGGAACCTATAGGAAGCTCAAACCAGATGACTGGACACAGGAATGTGACACAGCTTTTGAGAAGCTGAAAGAGAGTCTGATGAATTGTGTGGTTCTTGCTCACCCCGACTTTTCACGTCCTTTAATCTTGTCCATCGATGCTTCTCTAGATGGTTTGGGTGCTGTGTTGTCACAGATACCAGAGGGTGAAAGCAAAGCCAGACCCATAGCTTTCGCAAGTAAGACACTCAGTGGATCTCAGAGACGATATCCAGCCCACCGACTTGAATTTCTGGCTTTAAAGTGGAGTGTTTGCGAGAAATTTAGCCATTGGCTAAAGGGCAACACTTTCACAGTATGGACGGATAACAATCCCTTAACACATATTATGACGAAGCCAAAGCTGGAAGCTTGCGAGCAGCGATGGGTTGCTAAACTTGCCCCATACACATTCGACTTAAAGCATATTGCGGGCACCAAAAATGTTGTGGCAGATGCTCTCAGCAGAGATCCATTTGCCAAAACAGTTGGTCATAGGCTCATTACTGAATGTTATGACGATTTACTTGTTGAGTCTAAAGGAGTTGGTGAACAAGGGATTCAAGATGTCTTCCGTCTTAAAGTTCAGTGTCATTGTGTAGGAGGAGCATCACAGGTCAATGCTGTTAAGCTTCACTCAGTTAATTCCAGAGGT